AAGGTACAGTGGCCACAGTCTGAGGATTGCTCAGGGCCTGACTTCCGGCCCAGTGCCAGCGCTAGGCCTCTGTTCCCAGCTATGCACTGAGTTCTTGGAGACCCAGAGGGCCTAGGGACCCACCCATGGGCATTCCCACTGCAGCACATGCACTGGTAGAGGGTCACCTGACAGACAACTCCCCAAACACATACTGCGCAAGATGATGAAGAAGTCCAAGTTGTACTTCATCTAGAAGGAGTCTCCTGCTGGTACCTGGCTCCTGTTCAGACAGAAGATGGGCCCCCCACAGGGGCCTGTGCAGTCCCCACTGCCCCTATTGCTTCTGGCAGGCCAGCGAGGCTGACCAGGAGCCAAACTAGCCCAGGTTTCCTGGGAACTCAGCTGATGCCCATCACTGGGGCCATGCCTTCAACTCCCACCTGCTTCCTGGGCTCAGTGAAAGTCAAACAACCCCTGCAGGAGAACTGCCTCCTCCCATCAGGTTAGAGGTCAATGCCAAGACCAGACTGAACTGCCTGCTACTCAGGGCAAACACCCTCCCTGAGAGACTTCCCGCTCCTGTAAGCAGCAGGTGGCAGGGTCCTGTGAGGCCAGGCAGTGCCCCAAACGCCCACGCTGATGCAAGCATGGCCCCTGAGGCCAGGCCCCTGTGGGAGGTGGGGTTGACAGCTTCTGGGTTTACTTGCCCATTGGGGCCCTGGCTCAGCAGCACCCTCTCTGCTTGCAGCCACCAGACCTGCTGCAGCATCTATGGTCTTTGCTTTGACAAATGCACTGCTCTGGCCAGCCACGCACAGGTGCCCCCGAGTCCTGGAGTGCTGTGTCACAGCTCGCCACTGAGCACTGAGTGGACCAAGCCCCAGGCCCTGAAGGGGGCAACCATGGCAGCTCCATCCAGGCAGCCACCCCTTCACCAGCGTACCCCAGCATGTGTCCAGTTGAGACATGGACAGGCAGGCGCCCCTGGGCCTGGCATCCTGGGACCTGTCCTGGAGGTTTGGGGGTGGAGGAAGCGGACAAGGTGAACAGCCTCCAGCAGGCATCCCACAGAGCACTGTGAAGGCTGAGGATACCAGCAGCAGAATATCAGCAATTGGAGCCCAGGAGCCCAGCCCCCAGACACCTCCATGGCCTGAGGGAGTAAAGAGGCTAAGGATTTGCAGCGGAAGCTGGAAGAGGTGCAGCAACCCCCTCCTCCAGCTGACCCCTCATTGGTGCCCCAGCCCACCCAGATGTCTCTCTTCCAGCTGGTTGGTAACATGTGCACCCTCAGATCAGGTTCTGTGGAATTCGAGCCCCTCCCCCATCCAGGAAGCATGGGTGCAGCACTTACAACAGCACATCCTGGAAATGACTCTCTAACTGAGGCTCCCCAGGCCAGGCAGGCACAGACAGAATGGGCAGAGCATGTGAAGGCAGCAGCATTCCAGATTTCCCTCGTGCCACCTCCATGCCCTTTTTCCCCTCTGTTCTCTTCCCTCCTTTCCATTTCCAAAGGAACAAGCCAAAACCTCACAGCAGCACCCTTGGAGGACCCAGGTGCCAGCCTGTCACACTTTCTCCAGGCCAAGGACTCGGGCCACAGGGCGTCCTCCTCCAGTCCACACCCACCCTGGCACAGCAGGAGCAGGAACCAAGTCCCTGGTGGTAGCCGATCTGGTCACACGAGGACAGAGCTCTTTCAAAATGAAGAATTATATTTTTAGTTTTCCTTTATTTTCCTGTGTTATCAATGTTCCATCTTTAGTAAAATGTATTAAATTATTTTGCCTGTTCTTCAGATGGAAAAATTAACAGTGTTAGATATTATTTTTGGTCCTTGTATTCTTTAATTACATATACATATATGTTACACACATATCATATATAGTCTTATAAGAAAGGAATACTTACAATGACACTTTTTCCTCCAAATAGGAAGCTCATAAGTGGGTGCTTTCATGGTAGTAAATAATAGTGTAACACTTTTATTATTTTGGAGTTAAGGGAACATTTAAAGATGACCACCAGTTTTAGTAATTTGCAAATAGATTCTATTGTAATCTTTTATACAGTACTTTCATTTCAGAGTCTTAGCTGTTCCTTTCTCTGTGTTTGATTCTGCTGGCTCGGACAGTCTTGTTGCAAAGTTACAGCACTGTCAGAGAAAGAGGCTTTGTTTTACTCATTTCTGCGTGTTCCAAGTCACTGAGCCCATGACACCTGTTGAGCAGGGCTGTGCCCTAGGTGTTGTGAGCACTGGGATGCAGCTGGGAACTGGAATTAGAGGGAGCCTGCCCTGCAGCCTGTTTGGCAGGAGGAGGCAGCTAGGATGCGTGAATCCAGTGTCTTGTGTGCAGCAGCACTGGGTGAATGGTAACGGAATTCAGCAACACTGTGGGAATGTAGAGTTTCTCTTTTTAAAATAAGAAAACATAAAGAATAGGATGAAAACCTTACTTTCCTTGACTGGCAATAATACAATTAAATTAATTTTATTAATTTAAATGAAAAGTGTTTACTACATTATTTTAAGATGATCTTCTGCAGGTTTTAGAAAATTGTTTAATGCTGATTTTCCTTTGATAAAATTTTTCATGTTTGTTATTTAAAATAAAAGATTTGATGTGCTAAGCATTGTTGATGATAAGAAGTCAGTGTTCTCTGTTGGCTGGTTCTGATGATAAAGTGCTTAAAATGAGTGTTGTGATGAAGGATTATTAAATTATTAATTTGTCATAAGCATTTATCTAAAGTGCTAGCATTTTCAATTATCTATAAAGCTGATTTGTACAAAGAAAAAGAAAAAAAGATTCAAATGGCATGATTAGTACTTAACAATTATAATAGCTAGTGCATTTTCTTAGTTGTAGTGATTATAATTTTGTTATCCACCTTAAAATAACTAAAATATTTTTTCTTAATCTTTTTGGAGCTTTTTTTTTCTAATTGGGTTTATTAGGTATACAATTCAGTTACATTCAGCATTGGGATCTTCTACCTTTATATGACAGGACTTAGTTCTCATTTTTTCCCCATACCCCTGCCCTCCCTTCAACCCCTCCTCCCTTCCCTACTTACAAAAACTTTTTTTCCATTTTTATGTTTTCTCATATTTTTTCTTTTTCCTTATTTCCTTTCCCCTACCCTTCCCACTGGAGCTTTTTGTAAAATTTCTACAAACACAGGCTTATACAGCTGTTTTACCACCAAAATTTTCTGTTCATGTCACGAACCTCTAGGTTCCAAGGAGGAGAGAACTAAATACAAATATACCAGAAAGATTAACAAGTAAAACCAGAGTCTTACTTTTTCTTTTCTTTTCTTTTTTCTGGTGCCAGGAATCTAACTCAGGCCCTTGGGCTTGTGAGGCAGATGCCCAAACCATGGAGCTAAATGCCTGGCCCGAGGCTTATTTTTTCTACAGTGTTAAAATTGAATGTTTAACTTCAGCTTTTGCTTTATAGTAATATCAGCTAAGTTAGTGTTTTTGAAAATGTGTAGTACTGATTCTAAAATTCCAATAACATGTCAATTTTGACTTAATTATAGAAATACGATATTTAATCAGTTTACATTAATTTAAATAGTACAGACTATTTCTCCTTTGGGTGTCAAGTAATTCTCTTCGTGAATGAGCCACATAGAAGGATTCTTCTGGACATGGTAGTGAACTGGCTAAGCCTTTGCCTGGTCACCCGTTTTCCTTTCTGACTAATGGTGCTGTTTACTAATCTGAGTGAGGTGCTGAGTTTACAGTTCGAGAGGGTGTTTTATTTTTGCTCTCGAAAATGTACGAGTTATACTCAGTAGCCAAACCTTGACATGGAAATAGTCCGTATACAGCTTGGTAGAGTGACATAGGCCCCCAAGAACCTTATGAAGCGCTCTTGTCTGCGGAAAGGCGGGCCCGGAATGATGGCTGCAGGATGGCCCAGGTAGGTTCGCACCTGTCTACCCTGCGCCTGGGCTGTGAGGGTCTTATTTATCTTCACGTCACTGGCATCAACAAGTAGTGAAACTTACTGAGTTGGGATTGAATTATCCATTAGATTATGTACAGATCCTTTTTTACTTTAATTTTTTATATATGCTTACAATACATGGGGAATCGGTACATGGATATATCTTGATCATTTTCCATCTTGCCCCACATGCCCTTTTTCCTGATGCCCTTCCCTTCTCCATAGAGTTTGTCTTTATTTTACTCTTCAATTCATTTATAGTTTGGATTTCTTCTATAAGAGAAACCAAGCAATATTTAATTTTCTGTGTCTGACTTACTTCACTTAATGCGATGGTCTTAAGGCCCATCCATTTTCCTTCAAGTGGCACGAATTCCTCCTCCTCTATGACTAAGATCCTATGTGGATGTGCACCTCGTTTCCTTTATCCACTTGTCTGCTAAGGGCATTTGGGCTGTTTCCAGAGCTTACTTTTAGGAGATCTCTTCTGGAATCTGCATGTTGTAATGTGGACTACGTAAAGGCATAGGTTATTACATATACTTTAGTTTATACCACACAGCTATTTAAATTTAGTTACATATTTATATTCTTGAATTTAAAATGTTCTTAGTTATTTAGACAAATATTTTTATTTTTTTCTGAACTTTTTTATAGAAAGATAGAGTATCTCTGAGATTTGCCAAATCTAAAAACGTAAACCATATATGAAGAACTTTTCATCAGAAAAATGTTTTGAATTACTGAGAGGGAACTTTAATCGGATTTTCATAATACAAATGAGTATTCGTGTTTCAGAATTGAGGTCTCTTTGTGCTCTCATTTCGAGATAAAGAACAGTCGGAGAACTGCTCGGCATGTGTGATTCCCGCAGGTGGAGTTTTCAGCGGATCATAGTGGTGGTGGATGAGTTGCTCATCCGCATGTGTATTAATGAATTTGTCGACCTACTAAGAGCTCTTTATGCTATTATTTATCTTCAGAGAATTTTTTCAACCTGACTTCTTTGTGAAGCAGACAGACCAAATAATCTCTATTTTATCATGTAGGTGCGGCAGAAGAGTCGGAAGGTACAAGAGATATGAGTGCGTTCCGGTTTCCCACCTGCAGCGGTGCCTCCCATAATCCACCTGGCCTGGCTTCCGGTGGGCCTGGCCATCTTCTTTTGAAACTTACGTCACACGTCCTACCGCGCGTGTGCGCCCACCTTTGCCGCGACACGTATGGCGGCGCTGTGCTTGTACTAAAGTCCTTTAAACCTTAGGTGATTCTCGGGTAGACTTGAAGCACTTGAAAGAAGCCACGGGCACCATGAGCTGGTACTTTATCACAAAACAGCCTTTCAGAAGAAGTCAGGTATTTCTTAGCAGTTGTAATTTCCCTGAATTTAATTAAAATATTCTTAGTTGTTTTGGAAATTGCAGGTGTCAGATAAGCATTTGCTCTATAACCTGCTTTTTTCCTTCTCTAACTTGACCTAATTTAAACTAGAAACATTTAATTTATCTTTTGTCCTAATTTCCAAAGGTAAAGAAAGGGAAAACAAGAAATGCTAGTCTGTGATCTATATGAGCTTTTTATTTCCTCTGATTTTCAAGCTCGTTTAAGCTAGAGATGTGGTTTATCTTTTAACGGTAGTGAAATGATTTTAGAAAATTGGTCCGAAGCAAACATGAGTCATCTTTAGAGAACTCTGAGTCGACAGCCGAGGACAGGGTTGTCTGGGAGGTCACAGGGCCCCGAGACCGGATGTGTGTTTGGTTCTCTGCAGTTCTGGCTCCTGTGCACGCTCGGGTGACCGCCGCCACAGTCGGGATACAGCAGTCTCATCACAGGGACCCTGTGCTGCCCTTTCCCAGCCAGCATTACCCTCCTACCTCCCACCTTAGTCCCTGACAGCCGCTCTGTTCCCCATCTCTGCTATTTAGCCATTTCCGGAATGCTTTTCGGGTGGACGAGACTGGTCTTTCTCACTTGGCACAGTTCCTTGCATCTCCGTCCAAGGGGACACAGTATCCATAGTCTGCTCCTTTTACTGGTGAGGACCTGGCGTGAATGTACATTCAGTCTGAGCAGCTAAGGTGTCTATTCTCAGGCGTCGTCTGAAAGTGAAGGCTACCCCACAGGAACTCACCCCTGACTGCCGAGCATGAACTCGCCCAGCTGCGCCCGCGTAGCTGTCATTAGTAATGTAACTGCACTTGCTGCCGCCCCGCCTCTGTCTGATGCGTCAGTATCCAGAGGTTCAGCAGCTGGATCCCTGGGTCCCCATCACGGGGGCCACTGAGGCAGGAGCTCCCTTCGACAGCACCAGCACCAGTCAGGTGTCCGGAACTTAGGAGTGAGGACACTTCTTTAATTTTATTTTATTTTTTAATTTTATTTTTTTGGTACGGGGGATTGAACTCGGGTCCTTGCAAGGCAGGCCACCGAACCACTGAGCTGAATCCCCAGCCTTCTTCTTTAATTTTCTATACACCCATCACCAGATCCCTGACGTGGAGATTAACTGTGTCAAGATGCTCAGATTGGTGTTAGTTATCGAAGCTGTATACTAGCATCACCTGTGGATTTGGTAAGTTTAGATGTGCCTTTAAATAGAAGCATTTATTTGGAAGAAAGTAAAAGCAGTACTCGTCCAAATATGCAAAGAGAGCTGGTTACATTTGGTTGGTTGTCAATTTTGCTTTGACTAACTGTGTATTTCTAATGCATTTGGAAGACTGGATGGTCTCATTGTGTGTTGATGGTTAAAATGTGTTTTCTGAAGTAGCTGAGATAGTGCTGCTTCACAGTGTCACCTTTCTCCCTAACCAGCTCATTTATTTTGCCACTCTTTAGTTGTCGTAGAAGTTCATATTAGAGATTTTGGAGAGGCCCCCGTCTGCCTGCCCGTTACTGTTTCTCTGTGACCCTGAAGGTGCTTAACTTACAGTGGAGCCACATCCCCATCAACCCACTGTAAATTGACAATGTGTTAAATCCATACTGTGCTCAGTGTTCCATGATGAACAGACCCTAGATGGCTGCCCTCCTGCACCTCAGCCGGTGCCTCACTCATCTCCAGAGACTGATGACCCTGCCTGTGGCTGTTGCAACATTGGGGAGTTTTCAGGGCTGGAATTTGGAGGGGCGTGGAGCTGCTTAGTGCCAAGGGTGGTGGATGGGGGGGGCCGGGGGATATGGGGAGACTGTTTCTATCCAGCACTAATTAAGTTAAGTGCAGTAAGGATGAGATAAGGCCATTGAGTGCATAGTTTCAAGGCCCAGCACAGGCCCAAAGCTGGCAGCAGGTTGGGATAGAAGCTGTGCACCTCAGTGTGGCCCTTTGCAGGGAGAAAGTGGGCGCTGGACCTGGGCCCTTTGCAAACTCATCCCTCAGTCAGGTGTTAGTGCCCCTGTGCAGCCCAGGTGTGGATTGAGGTGTAGACTGTACCAGGTGACCCCACCAACCAGATCCATGGAAGCAGAGCATGCCCTACTCCCAAGGCACTGGTGCTTTGAGCTGAGGAGAGGATCTCTGCCTGCAGAGGACCAGCTGAACTTCCCTACAACAGGTTTGCCAGATCTTCTTTTGTCATGGGCTGTTTGCTGGGCTCTGGCACATGTCCTGCCACCCATAAATCTGGTGCCTGACGTCTGAACCTGTGCTGACAGTTTGCACTTAAATGGCAGGCCTGTAAGCTGTGCTCTCTGAGTTTGCAGGCAGAAAAGTCTTCCTGGATGTAGGATAGCTTTCTGCAATTTGTAGCCAGAAGCTTTATGCAGACAGATAAAGACAAGAGTAAGGGCTCAGGTCCATTCTCACAGTGGAGGGGAAGCAGGGTGTCATTTCCCTGCCTAGTTCTCTATTCCTGCCCATTCCTGCCTCTGCTTCACAGTTTATGCCTGGGCCCTGGAAGTCACACTGGTTTGGAGTCAGACCAGCCTAGTGTAACCAGCTTCTGCCTTTTGGGGGAAATATGCTCCAGGAAATGGGGCCCACAGCGAGTTGAGATTAAATGAGAAGATGGATTGAGCTTGTTGTTACTAGGGTGCTGTGGTCCTCATTGGCTGCGCCTGTGCAAGTCACACGATCTATTTCCTGGACCGTGACCGGAGGAGCTGGAGCATGTCAGGCTGCAGACTCAACTGCTCACATGTGGCCACCATGCATGCTTGACAATGGCACCAAAGAGTTGGTGCGCAGGGGGCCCCAGAAGCTCAACTCCAAGGAGACCAGCACTGCTCCCTTCTTGCCCACTGGGTTCTCAGCACCTATGCAGTGGCAAAGTAGACCCTATCTGCTGGGACAGTGAATGAGGGTCAGGGTTGCTTGATCTCCTGCATGTCCTGGAGAAACTGGAATCTAGATTATTATGTAGAACGAACTCGATGCAGCTTCTGAGCACCACGTGGTCCAAAGTAAGCATGCGCAGGCTGATCCTGCTGGCTGACCCATGTGCAGGTGTCTGAAGCACAGTCTGCCCTCCAGGAAACTCAGGGCCCAGAGCTTGGACCCCTGACTCTCCCCTGAGGTCCTGGTGGCCCTGCTTCTCAGATTATTACAGGCTCCAGGAGCGCTGGCCTCCTTTCCTTTGCTGGGATGAGCTTGGGTCTGTGGTGCTCTGTGAGGACCAGTCTCTTCTGTGCAGGTGTGGGGCTCCCCATTTGGCCCCTACAAGTGTCTTGGGGTCTGGCCACTACACCTCCTACCCCTGTCTGTGCAACTGACATTGGCCCTCGGCTCCCTCTCTTCTCCCGGGGCCCCTGCAGTGTTCTGACCCCTGGGGGTGCCATGCACAGCCCACCCACCACGTGACCATGCCACTCCTTGACCACATTATCTCCCACCCTTCTCCACTCCCCTCTGCATTGTCCACTCAGTGCCGTGGCCACACTTGATCTTGCCATTGCACACAGCGGCTCTCCATGTGGGAGGTTCCACTCAGACATCCCTGCTCTGTGTCTGCAGTGTTCTATCCTTCCTGCATGATCATCTGAGGATCTCTCCATACTTCCCCTTTACTTGCACCAGTGTCGCTAAGTCCTCTCACTTCCTGTCATAGGCTGGATCCAAAGAGGCCCCCAAGACCCACTTGTTAGGAGTTTGGTGCTTGGCCCCTGTCACTGTTGGGAGTTGTAGCCTGGTGGAAGGAAGTGGGGTCACTGGGCTGTGCCTTTGAAAGGATATTGGGACCCTTGGCCATTCCTGTCTCTCTGTGCTTCCTGACTGCCGTGAAGTGAGCAGATCTCCTCCATCATGTGCCCTCCCATGATGTCCTGTGTTTCCACAAAGCAGCAGGATAAAGTGACCATGGGCTGAAACCTCTGAAACTGTGAGCCCAAACCAACCTTTTCCCTTTTTAACTTGATTATCTCAGGTGTCTTGTTACAGCAATGGAATGTTGATTAACACACTCCTATGCTTGTTTCCTCCCCTGTTTCAGCCACACCCCACAGTCTGGCCAGTATATCCAACCCCTTGAACTGTGGCTTTCCATCTGGCAAAACTGAGCTTTGGACCAACCTGTTAGCTCTGGGTCTACTCTGTGGGAAACCCTGGGACATAGCTAGAGTAAATTCACATAACAGATTCATGCTTTCCAGCTTCAGTGGGCCCTAGGACACTCACACTTCCCTCGTGATCTCTCTGCCACTGGTCACTGTGCACCCTCCTGATGTGTTCCATCTCTGCCCCGAGCTCTCCGTAACTGGCCCATACTTCACCTTCCTCCCGTCTCTCCCTCCTGACCTGTAAACCTGCCCGCTATGGGTCTGGCTGGCTCTGTGTCTGGAATACACCTTTCCCCATTTTCTAGGCCTGCTGCCACTTCTTTGGCTGGGTTATAGGTTGCCTCCTCCGGAAGACTGTCTCCTGGCTGTTCACACGGCACCCGTCTCCGTGTTCACATTCCCATGTCTCACCTCCTCTATGACGCTCTCCTAACAGTGGTCCCTGTGCCATAAGCTCCTTGAAGACAGACCTCTGGGGCTCCCTGGGCACCTGGAGAGAAGGCGGATGCCACAGGCCAGCATTCAACAAGAATACTTTTCTCATAATTACTTGGAAGGATATAAGCTCCTTGGGTGTAGGGTCTCTGGCTACTCCCCTTCTTAGTCCTGGCAGTCAGCTTTGAAAATTCTAGCCCCGTGGAAACGTAAGAGAGGCCCTTACTGGATGCTGGTAGGAGTTTCCTGTGCAGCTGTAATAAATTATAGCAGACTCGGTGACTTAAAATAACCAAGCATTTATTCTTACAGTTGTGGAGATCGGGGCTGAAGTGAGGGTGTCAGCAGGGCTGGTTGTTCCTCTAAACTCCAGGGAGGTTCAGGGATCTTGCCTTTTGCAGCCACTAGAGGGCGCCTGAAATCCGTGATTCTTAGCCACTTTCTAGTATCACTGACCTGTGCCTCTGTCCTCCTATCTCTGACTCTGTCCCTCCTGCTGCCTTCTTATAAGCATCTTTGTGATAATTGGACCCCAGATAACTCAGGATCACCTCCACATTTGGAAGTCAGTAAAGTCCTCATTGCCCCATAAAGTACATTCACAATCTCCAGGACCAGGTCCTGGGTATCTTCTGTGGCTGTTATTCAGCTTCCCACAGTGGTCTTTATGATGTCAGAACGAAGCAACAAAGAAGCCAAGCTTCCTGGCTCATTGCTATTTTAACTCCTCCAGAAGAGTTGGAGGACTTTTTTCCTGTGGGACGAGGACATTGGCACAAGACTTCTAGGGGTGCATTGCTTATAGAGCTCCCAGACCTTGGCTCTGAAGAGGTGTCCCACAAAGACATAAATCACTGGGTTTAGGCAGCTGTTGGTGAAAGCAAAGAAGTTGGCCAGCTGCAGGCCCAGGTCGGTGATCTCCTCCCAGCAGCAGCCTTGGATGGCCTGCACGTGGAACAGGAACTCCAGGAAGGCGAAGAAGTGGTAGGGGGCCCAGCACACCAGGAAGGCAGCCACAAGTGTGAAGATCAGCGCCGTGGTCCTGCCGCCCTTGGGGCCTCCACACCAGCTCCTGCTCACCTCTTCCCGCCTTCGCAGGGAGGCCAGGATGTGGTAGTTGAAGAAGAAGATGGCAGCCAGTGGGAGGAGGAACCCCAGAACATTTAACTCCACCATTCTCACGAAGTGCCAGGCCTCGTGGGGGAACAGCAGGACGCAGGCGGAGACATTCAGATCGGGGATGGCTTTGATCGATCGCAGCAGGAATGTGGGGGTACTCAAGAGGCCCCCTGCCACCCAGATGAGCAAGCAGGTGGCCTGGGCCTGCCACCGCCTCCGGCGCCCCCAGCTGGCCATGGGGTGCACCAGCACCCTGTACCGGTCTTGGCTGATGGCCACCACCAGAAAGATGCTGATGAACAGATGGGCCTTGATGACCCCGTTGACCACTCTGCAGAGTGGAGCCCCAAAGGGCCAGTTGAATCTGTTCCAGATATTCTCTGCCCAGAAGGGCAGGCCCAAGACAAACATGAGGTCAGAGGCCGCCAGGTGAGCCAGGTAGATTTCTGCCACCTTCAGCCTTTGCCGGGGCAGCAAGAGGAGCGACAGGACCAAGATGTTTCCCAGGAGGCCGAAGATGCAGATGGTGATGATGACTGTTGGCAACACTCTGTGCAGCGCTTCCCAGGCTTCGGGAACACCAGCACAGGATGTGGTGTTGGGAGGGGTGCCCTGGCTCTGGTTAGATGACTGGAGCTCCAGCAGGGCCTGCAGTGCCATCCACAGTGACCTGCAGTGACAAGTGTGTAGAGTAACACAAGTGGAGGCAAACTATGACTTACTCAAAGTCCAGCCTGTTTGGGCAATAAAATTCTGTTGGAGCACAGCTACACCCATCAATCACGTACTGTCCACGGCTATTTTTATGCTGCACTGAGGGGCTGAGTGGTGGTATTTACCATCTGGTTCTCTAGAGCAGTGGAGGCGAAGCTTTTAGAACTTTCCATGATAACGGACAGCTTCTGGTTTCAAACCCCGGCACTCAGAGTCCAGAGCTAGCGTTCCTGTCTGTCAATTCTTCTCACTTTTTCCCTCACATAGGGGATGATGCTGGGCCCAGGGAAGTCACCCGAGTGTCCAGGGGTCCTGGCTGGTGAGTGACAGCAAGGTGTGACTCTCACTCTTCACTGACCCCCAGGCCACATCCTCAGCTACACAGTGACCGGCATCCTGCCTCCCTCATACATGTGGTTAAAGCCAGTGGTTTCCACGGAGAGGGCCAGGGCAGACAGAGAACCAACCCCTCCCTGAGGGTGACCATGCCTCCCAATCTCTGTGACCTCTGAGGGACACACATTATGTGAGCAGTGCCTGCCAGCTGACTGGGCCACAGCCAACTCCAGAGACCCAGTCATTAGGTGGGGAGTCTGCTGCCCAGCTAGATCTCCAGGCCTGGGGTTCAGAGAATCGTCTGAGGTAAGGATCCCTCCCTGGGGATTGGGATGGATCGCATGGGTGACATCTATGGCCGCAAGCTGCGTGGGTAGTTAGGGAGAGGGTAGTTAGAGAAGATGATTCACTGCTGCTGGGCAGGAGAGAAATTCCCTGGCAGTGGAGGCTGAGCAGTTCTGACCCAGAGTGCAGCAGGGCCCTGCACGCTCTCCTGACAGTGACTTTGTTCTTTACCGGTGGCCACTAGTGTACAACTCTATTTTATCATTTAGTGAGACTTTTCAATTTTGTAAAACTCTTTCAACAGTGAAAGGCTAAAAAAAAAAAAAAAAAAGGTTTAATGGAAATGTAGGTGTCGAGCTGCTGTTTTTCAAGGAAGTCCATGTTAAATGTGTAATTTGCACAAAACCTTTGAGCCTCAGCTCCCTTCAGAGCTACAGGGAGGTGGAGGCCCAGAGCCTAATGGCCCCCTAAGGTGCCTGTGTCCTCGCCCCATTCCTGGGATGCCCAAATGGGTTCAGTGTCATCACATAGGTGTTTATGAGGAGGAGACAGGTTTCAGGGTCGGAGAGAAATGCGACTGCACTGCCTGCCCCGCTGGCTTGAACATGGAAGCGGGGCCATAAGCTGAGGTGCTGGTGACCTCCAGAAGCTGGGACAGGCAAGGGGTAGAGTCTCCCCTGGAACTTTCAGAAGGAACCAGCCCTGACAATATCTTGACTTGAATCTTGGCCCCTTGAACTGTGTGGTTCAGATGCACTGTGTGTGGTAATTCCTTACAGCAGCTGGAGGACGCCGGCATCTGGCCCAGGAGGTCAGGGGCTTTAGCTTCACCCTAAGCTCAACACTACACACTGCCCCCAGCCCCCATCTGCAGGGCCTGACTGTGGCCATGACCTGTGTTAAAGGTCATCTTCACTAGCTGCTGCCTGTGTTGGTAAAGTTAGCCAGAGATGGGAATCTGCTTTCATCACTTCCTGGCTTTAGCACCTAGGTTTACCCAACACAGAGTAGGTGCTCAAACCACAGTTATCCACATTATTACTAATATTCGGTTTTCTTTAACATTGGACACATGTACCAAAGATGAAAAGTCTATCATTTCTGCCTTCTATTTTCTGAATTTTGCACATTTTATCCCTGGCATATGCTGCTTGGGAAAGAGCATGTTTTTTTTCTCCAACACATTAGCCCTCTTCAAATGAACTCCAATTTCAAGAGTCAGGTGATGAGGAAGGCATTTGAAATACAGACTCAGAAGATAAGAAGAGCAGTAGGGTCACAGGAGAAGACGCTACTTTCAAACTACACATAACCTGAGCAGTTACTGGCAACAAAATCTTGTGAGCCATCCCGGAGAAACTAAGCTGATTTTTGTAAATGAGAATTTGTAGATTGAACTGTGTCATTGTCCATTCAAGGCTCTGATGATTTTATTCAGTGCTGACAACTTGGTTTGGCTGTGATATAAACAAAACAAAAACTTCCTGAGCCATTCCAAACACTCTCCCTCCTCCTGTGGTGAGAAAAACCATTTTAACCCACACTGGGCATGGACTACAATCTCTTGCATTCTAAGCAGAATTATTCTGTTCAAAATGTGTACTTACAGAATACATGTTCTGCCGATATACAGATGTGAAAGGAAGTTTTCTATTACTCTTCCCTAAGAGACACTGTCCCCTTTTCTATTCCGCTCTCCTGAGAGAAAGAAAGGACGGTGGTTTACTTACTCAGAAGATGAAAGCGCTCACGGCTCCTGCTGGATTTGGGACAGTGAGAGCTGCCTTTGGTGCTTTCTGTTCTGGACACTTTCTGGACACGTGGCGGCCTTAAATAAAGCCATCTCCGCCCCAGCGAGGTCACTGGGCTGCCAAAAAGTGAGTCTTTCAAGACAGAGGAAGCCGGTGGTTTTGGAGGAGCAAGGCCCTCCTCTCACTTTGTGATTTGGAATGGGCAGAGATTAGTCAGTGCCCCTCTGCTGTGTAACATCTGGGAGGCCAGCGATGCTGCTTCCCTCCTGGCAGACGCTGTCATTAACAACCAAGCTCTGAATCCCTCTTTTGCCTTCCAGACCCCCCCCCCACTAACAGAGCCCACAAAGCATCAGTCTGCACTCAGCAATATTCCCCACTCCCAGTTGGCCCTGAAGGGCTGAGGATTCAGGGACAACTTGTGTGGAGCTAAACTTCACATCCACTCCTGCATTTTGGTCATGCAGGGAGCACGGCCACGAATCCCTCCTTGGGGACTCCATCACTAAAACAGTGAGCTCAGAACAAGTTTGACTCATGCCTCGCTCAGCACAGATGCATTTTCCCCTCATCTTCCCTGCAGCTCTGAAATCCAACTTCCATGTAAGCTGGCTTCTATCAAGCTGAACGGCCCTGGGCTTCACACTTCAGAAATGGAGAAAGCCCTGGCTTTCTTCGGAAGTCAGTCCCTCAGAGCCTAAGAGCAAAGCCATGGGGCTATAGCTATGTCTGTTCCAATAACAAAGCTTCATGTTCACCGCCCACTTCATGCAGGGACGTGGCCAGGCCAGGACTCCAGGCTGCTATCCCGGCTCCTGGAGGGGCAGCCCCCAGATGTCTGGAATACAGGGGCTCCCTCTTCCTTCCGAGTCAGGCCTTTCTTTGCATTTCCACCTTCTGTGACTGATGCCTCAGTGGGACTAACTGCACTTTCACATTTCCCAGCAGTTTTCTCCTGTTGCTAGAGATCTAAAAATTGTGGAAGAAGGAAGAGAAGGAGGAGCAGGAGGAGGGGAGGAAGGGGGCCTGGAATCAAGCACCAGTTGGAGGTGTAAGTCTGGGGGGAGGGCACTGCCTTTGGGGAAGTCCCTTCCTCTCCGAGACACCCTGTGGTGAGACGTCTTTTAGTCATGCTGATGTTATGGCATGTGCTGTTCTGGATGGGGTGTAGCCAGAGAGCTCCAGTCCTAGCCTTTCCTACCACTCTGCCACAGTCTGGTCAGGGTGGCCAGCAGTCAGCTGTGCCTACCTCTCTGACTCAGGGTCACGGTCCCATCTCCTCTAACGGGTGACACATAGAGGCGTTTGGTGAGACTGGCTGAGCACATCCACGGCCTTCTGTGTACATGAATGTAGTGACAGAAGACATACCGTGAACCCCTGTGGGTTCCGGGCCCAGTGTGCACCAGTGGCACAGCATGACAAAGCCTCTTCCTGCTCCCATGGCTGACTGGTGGCAGTAAGTGTGCAATGCTGAGTGACAGTAGGGGTGGGGCTGTGTCCGGGTACGAAGATGGAAAGGGTTCATTCTGCTGGAGGCCCAGTGTGCCGGGCAGCCCCTGATCACAGCGCTTCCTAAGACCCACAGCCTCCTGAGCTAATTCTCTATCTTCTTCATCTCCTGTTTGTTCTCTTTTTCCGGAGAGCCCTGGGAAGACTGCATAGTGAAGGGCGATTTGGGCAGGGTCTGGAGAGGTGAATAGGAGCCTGGATGATAGGGAGGCGACAGGCACACACACAGTCCCATGTTCCAGTGCAGGGACCACTTCGCCATACCCATGGGCAGCTCGTGTGGACTCATCGTTTGGTGCAAGCAAGAGAATTGAGCAGACAGGGTCAGCCAGAGTGAGCTCTGTTTGGGAGATGGGGTCAAGGAGGACCCCAGCCCGCCTGGCTGTTTTCTATGCTGCCTCCCGTGGCCTCAGCTTCCTCATCTGGAGAGTGGCCCCTTTGCAGAGGCCTAGCACCCCATGAGATTGTTCAGAGGGAGCTGGCCTCTTGATTTTATTATGCAGGCCCCAGACATAGCGCAAGCAAAGGTCCTGAGGCTGGGCAGCTTGGTGGGTTGGGGAACTGAAGAGGAGTAGACAGAGCACTCTGGGTGCAGTGCCTGAACAGCTGGAGAGGGGTGGGAGGCGGGCAAGGCCAGGACCAAGACTGAGGAGGAGGGGTACTGAGGGGACTGCGGTTTGTAGGCAGAGCTAGATGCTTGGTGGTGCACATTGTGAGGAAGATGGAGCCAGGGAAAAGTCACATATTCTTCCAGGCTTCTGGCTCAGGCAGCTGGGAGCTACCCACTTACTTAGATGGGGAAGATGAAGAGAGGATTTCATTTTATCGTATTCTTTTCTCCTTTCTTCACTTGAACCCAGGGCCTTCACACTGAACTACATCCCCAAGCCTTCTTATTTTTCATTTTGAGGCAGAGTCTCAAGTCACTAAGTTCCCCAAGCTGAGCTTCGACTTGCTGGCTTTCTGCTTCAGCCTCTCACATAGCTGGGATTGCAGGTGTGCAACAGCACACTGGTTTCTTAAAGTTTCTTTAAAAGAGTTTCTTAGAGGATCAGAAAAGTTTGTTTGCACTTAAGTCTGAGATGCACTTGAAGTACCTAGACAGCTCTCTCCAGCGGTGCTGGGACGAGAGGCTGCTGCTGCAGACAGCGGGGCAGCGGAGAATGAAGCTCAGTGGGCCTCAGGGAGACAGAGTCTACAGGCGCTCTTTCCCTCTCCCTTTCCCCTCTCTTCTTTTCCTTCTCTCGCTCTCTATCACTTACCTCTCTACCTGCCTCTCTTTCTACCTCCTATCTATCTATCAATCATCTATCCACCATCATCATCATCCACCATTGTCCATGAACTTGAGTGTTATTTCTTGCAACAGGGAGGGGAAACTCTAAATCGGGGAGGGGAAACTAAATCTACAGGGCAGGCCAGCAGGCTAGAGACACGAAACTTTGGCAAACTCTGCCATAGTAAATCATGGCACTAAAACAGGCGAAACACTAGAATAAGAGCCGTGTACTGCCAGAGAGGATGGCGCCGGGACTGGGTGGAAGAGAGCAGACCCGGTGCCCTAATGGGGCGGCCCTCTGATGACTGCAATGCTTTTCAGGGTTAGGGTCTCTTCTCTGTGAGACAGGGGGAGGGGTGCACAGGCTGCCCCCAGGGACCAGGGGACACCCGTCTGAGGCTTGAGGTCCCCAGAGCAGGTACTTTGTACACAAAGCTGACCAGGTCTTCAAGGCTGACTTGGGAGTTGGGCCGGGTGGGATAGGACATGGGATCTGAACCAGGGCTTGGGTCCTCACTTCATCACTGTTGAGCGGGGGACCTTGAGGTTTTCTATGCCACCTCCTGGGCCCTCCTCTTCCTTCTCTGGAGAGTAGTCCCTTTGCAGAGGACTAGCGCCCTCTGAGATTGTTCAGAGGCAGCTGCCCTCTTGATTTTACTGTCCTTTTGCTGTTGCACAAGATGGTGTCACACAGGAGGCCACACAGCTTGCTCTGGGCTGCAGAGGAAGCAGATGGCCACTGCTGGCCACCATGGGCACCTAGGAGGGAGACTCAGAGTGGTGACTGAGGGAGCTCAGAACCCATCTTTGGCCACGTTTCAGGGGCATCTACAAACGACCTCCCACCTAGTGGTGCGATGTCTTGGCCACCTGGGAGCCAGAAGCTGTGCTCAGCCTGGCCCTGGAAAGCCCAGCATCAGGCTCTGCAGAGCAAGTGTCCGGTCCTGGTGTCACCAGGCCTATGGTACATGCTCTGGGGCCTGGGCCGACCCCAGTGTGTCGTGTGACACACTCAGCTTGGAAAAGGCCCTCAACTTTTGTGTACCATGTTCTTTTGGAACCCTTCCCTCCCCAGCAACTCAGAAGGCTGGAGCCTACAGTCAGTTGTCCTGGGAACTCCAAGGGAGAAGCCACCCTGGCTCCAGGTGACCTTTACTTTCCTTGGCACACAGAGTCCTTGCCCATCTCTGTCTCCTCCTCCTCATGGCTTCTCTTTATAAGGACACCAGTCATTGGATTTAGTGCCCATCTTAGTCCAATGAAACCTCCTCTTAATTTAATTATTCTTGCGAAGGCCCAACTCTGAGATAAGATCACAGTTTGAAATTCCAAGTGGACGTGCATTTTCCTGGGGGCGGGGTGGGCATTGTTCAACTCCCTGTAGTTTATCTCCCTTAATCTTTACAGCACTGGAAATCCTCATGGCTTGTATAGAAGGATCATTGCTTTTGCACTATTGTGAAATCAAAACTGTAAGTGGAACGGTTCTAAGTCAGGGCTGTCTGCACTCACAAGGCCCAGAAGATGCAAAGTTGTTTGTTGTAAATGCAGCCACAGCCTTGGTGGAGAAGCACTTCTTAGAAACAGCTGCCTTGAGGGCTCCCAGTGGCAGGTTGTGTCCTCTGTCACATGTGTGCTCCCCATAGCAGGCAGAGCTGCTCAGCACCCTCCATGAGAGGGCTCAGAAAGTTCCTGCCCTTTCTGGCCTCAGTCTCCAGCCCTCCATCTGGAGGTCTCACCCACACTGCCCCGCTGGAGGATGGTGGTGGGGAGGGGTCCATCCCATGCCCAGCACAGTGTGAGGCATCCTGAGGGGTCTTGACCGAGCCCCGCCTCAGCCCAGAACCACAAACAAACTTAAGCTTTCAGCCATGGCTGTTGCCAAACTCTGACCTCTTGCTCATCCTTGACCCCCACGCCCTCCTGGGCTGGGAGGAAGGATCAGGGGTGTGGGAGGCTTTGAGATTGGGTAACAGAGGCTGGAGCAGGGCTGACTCACGAAGATGGCACTCAAGTGGCTCCAGGCCACGATGGCGCCATCCTCCTGAGCCTGGGCCCCTGTGGGGTCAACAGCACCCAGTGTGCCACTCTCTGTGCTCCATCCCCACCCCAACAGCCAGGGCGGATTCAGGAGCCTGGACCCTTGCTTGGTTTGCTGAGGCCATGGAGCCAGGAGGGTGGGCAGTGGGAGGAAGCTCTGGGCCCCTCTCTGCCTGCTGAGGGGTCCAGCCCTGTGGTTTCCTCGTGTCCTGAACAAATGCTACTCCATGTGCCCATGTCATGCCTTGGACAAGGGATTCGCTTCACACTTTTGGGCTCAGGGTGCTCCCTGAAAGAGTTCAGGCCAGAGAGAGGACACCATGACTCTGGGATCTGTCCCAGCACTTAGGTCCAGTGTGGCTGAAGTGGGGAGAATGAACAGGGAGGTAGAGGCAAGGAGGAAGGGGCCCAAATATGGATGTGGATATCTATCCCAAGAAGGATACATTGGATGCATCTACCCTGCTGAACAGCCCACCTCTGGAGCACAGCACATGGCAGTGCCCTCTTATGATCTGAGGGCTGCTTGGGAGCTGCACTTACTCCTGGTGTCCAGCACTAAGAGAGGATGGGACAGCCTACTACAGGAAAAGCAGCTAGATTCAAACTTCCTAGTGTGGTTTCTACTGAATGTCTATTGCTTTGGTGTCATCATGTAGCCAGAAAATAGTCAGGTGAACCACTGTCCTCACAAGGCCTAGGGTTCCCTGCTTGATTCCCTGAGGCCCAGAACCCAGGGTTCTCCTGGGACAGTGCCATCATTCCCACAATCTCATCCCTGTCCATATCACCCCAGGGAACACTTGTTCAGGGCTTCCTGTGTCCCAGGCACTGCACCAACACACTTTCTACATCATTTTGTTAATGATTGTGACATAGATGACACTTTACATATGAGGAAAGGTAGAATCAGAAAGGATAAAGGAGAGAGTGGAGGCCACACAGCAAATAAGAGCCAGGGCAGGAAGGGGAACCATATTCACCTGATCCTTAGGCCTTAGCACCTGGCTCTGTTCTTCATGTTTATGGCCTCCCGTAGGTGCATCTGTGTTCTTCAGATGCCACCAGATGCACAGTGCAGACTGTCTTAGTTACTTTCTCATTGCTGGGACTAAACACCCAACACCCAGAAGTTAAAGGAGGAAAGGTTTATTTTAGCTCACAGTTTATAGAGGTTCAGTCCATAGTCAGCTGGCTCCAAGACAGGGCAACATGGCAGAGGAGAAACAGCCCACGGCAGGGAAGGCAGGAAGCAGTGAGCCTCTTTCTCTTTTTATTCCATCCAGGCTATAAGCCTATTGATGGGTGTCACCCATACCCAGGGTGGGTCTTTCCATTACCCACACTCATAACTATGCTAAGCCAATCAATTGATTAACCCAGCATCAAGCAGCCATGATCCAATTACTTCCCCAAAGCCCCACCTATGTATAAGTGCAGGGGGCATGGAGAGACCTCTAGATAAAAGCCAAACAGAGACCAAGGCTTGGGAGATGGGCATGGCTAAGCATGGGGGGAAAAGGAAGGGATGATGGCTGCATCCAGAAAGAAGCAGACAGAACCAGGAAGCCCTTGGGGGTAGAATCTAAGCAGGTTCTTATCTGCTGGTGGCAGGGAGAGGGACGGCAAAGATTGTGTGCGGAGCAGTGGGCCCAGGTCTCTGGCACATGTGGGTAGGTGCATGGGTCAGCAGTGCTATTTATGGAGACATGGAATGCAAGTTTTGTTTAAGGAATCAGTGAGTGATTTGTTGAACAAATCATGACTAACAAAAGTTCTCAAAATGGAACAGAGTTCCCGTTGCTGGAAATATGAAAGTACTGTGACTTTTTATCTGGACATTGTAATGGATAATCCTAATTTGAGGGGAAGACCAAATGGTAAGCACTCAATAAATATCTGTTGTGTGAAGGAACAATGAATCACTGCCATCTCTGTGATTTTAGGGTTTCACGAAGACTCCTGGGCACCTGAGGGGGATTTGGTGAAGTTATCTGTAGAGGTATAGAGGATGGTGGAAATGTAACATTTTCCATTACTCACTGAATATATTTTATCATCATCATCATCATCATCATTATTATTATTATTATTATTTGTAGTAGTAGTAGCAGTATCAGGGATTGAACTTGGGACCTTGTGCTTGTGAGGAAGGCGGCAGGGCCACTGAGCTAAATCCCTGGCCCTCATTGAATATATTTTAGAATATATGTTTGCATACCCAAGCGTACATGTTGACTCTTTTTCTCCCACTCATAAGGACCCCAAATTGCAAAAGTTTGGAGACCATTGGCCCACATGACCTATCTTTCTGCGCTCATATTCAGGGTGCGACTGCTCTGGATGTGTGGGCTCCTCGCCACCCCTGGCCTGGGTCTAGCCTCTCGGGTGGGACAGAGCCAGCTGGTTACTGAATACTCATTTTCAGTCTCTCCTGAGCTCACTGACCCTGAAATGCCTCTGTCCTATGTGGCTTGAAGCTAGAGCCTGGGCCACACCTTCCTTCCCATCTCCTCCTAGGGCTTGGCACTGTGCTGGCCACAGGAGGCAGATTAGTAAGATGAGTAGAAAAATAGATGAACACCCTGAGGAGGACCAGGCTGTCCTCTCTGCCTGTGGCTTATGCTGCTGCGCCTTCTACCCCAATCCCGCCACTCTCCCCAGCCTGTAACGGGAAGGAGATGCCCCGGGAGGCTGCTGGGCCAGCTCTTGTGCCATCTCTGCTCAGCCAGTGTAACATCCCGTGGGGCCTTGTCCCCAAGGTATTCTTCAAGGTCATGTGTGCCCTGCCCTGGAGCCCAGCTGGATGCAGACCCCACCCTCACTGACGAGGTGCTGGAAGTGATGCTCTGGGGTATTGACGGGCACTGCCCATGGGTGATGTCCACTGCTTCCTGCTCAAGCTCCCCTCTGGGTGTCCTGGGTCCATGGTCAAATAAAGCAGGTGCTGACCAGAAGCAGGGGAAGCAGGCCAGAGTCTGGGTGCTGTGTCCCCATTAGAAATCTCTCCCAGCCCCACCACAGTCCCAGCGTGGGAGGGGCCTCCCCAACACATGCGTGTGCTTGTGTGTCCATGCGTGTGTGTACACTTGTGCCCACAGGTGTGTGGGGGGTAACGGGGAGGAGAAGCAGAGGGCCAAGGGGGGTGGACGGTCTCCACCTTCCTACCCAAGCCGATTCCCATCCACAGAGCCATTTCTGAACCGCAGCGTCTTTTCCTTATAATTAATTTATTCCGTTTTGTGGGCATAAGGATGCCTCACATACATAGCACCTTTCACTTCTCAAAGTCCTTTGTGTCTGTTACCACCTTTAACCCTCCTGCGATCTCGGATCACAGTGGGGACACTGAGGCACAGACAAGGGGTCTGTGCTTCTAGTTCTGGCTGAGTGGGCTCTGTTCCGCCCACAGGGCCTGACCTGGGCACAGCAGGACAGAGCCTGCTGGAGCCTGCCTACCATAGGCCTCCTTCCCCTGGGGTTTCTGGACTCCCCTGAGATGGAGACCCCGTTATCTCTCCAGGACCATACACAGTGAGTGACTCCGAGGTTCTTCTTTTTGCACAGAAAGGAGGAGCCATGGAATCCTGGTCTCTGGGTTCTTACTGGGGACCCCTCAGAGTTTAACTGAGAAATTATCCTCCCAAGTCTGAGCTGCCTGGGTTAAGGGACCCCAGGACAGATTCCACCAGGTGCTGCCACATGTGTCCTGGGTCACGGCACCAGAGCCGGGCGGCAGTTCCCCAGAGCTGTGAGCAGTCATGCCCGGGCGGGAAGGGACGCCACGTCCCTCAGTCATTCCCGCCCCTGCCCAAGTCCCCTCTATGGTTAGGAAGGAGCAGGCTGGCCCCAGAGTGGCGGCAGATGAGACTGCGGGGGCCCGCTCACCCCGCTGTCACAGACCCCTCACGCGATGGGGCAGGGCAGGAATCACCCTCCTGGGTTTTCCGGGAGAGGTGGGGCTTATCCATCGCCCAAGGTCACTTGGGGTGTCTTCTTCCCCTGGCTGGGCCCCATGCTGAATAGCAACTGTGCGGCAGGCGGTTCTCGTGCATTCACAGTAGCCCAGGTGGCGCGCCCTCACTGCCCCTCCTGGCCCAGTCCTGTAGCTTGTGGATCTGCCGGTCCACCGAGATGGAAGTGCGCAGCGTTCCCATGGAGCTCTCCGCCTGGACCGGTTCCGACGACGAGCAGCAGCCCTTCCTGCACAGCCTGTGGTACACTTCCCGGGACTTCTTCCGGAAGCGCTTGCCCACAATCACGTACACCAATGGGTTGAGGCAGCTGTTGCTGTAGGCTAAGTAGGAGCTGATCTGCGTGACGATGTCGATGACGTGCTCGGCCCAGCAGCCAGGGAGGATGCCGAGGCGCAGCAGCGTGTCCAGGAAGGTGCTGATCTGGAAGGGCAGCCAGCACACGACGAACAGCAGCAGCACGGCCAGGACCAGCACGGTGGCCCTCCGCTCCGTCTGGATCTCCTTGAACTTCTGCATCTCGTTGTTGCGCAGCACCTGCATGATCTGCACCGTGCAGAAGGTGATGATGCTGAGGGGCAGCAGGAAGCCCACCAGGTTCAGGAGGACGTTGGTGAGCACCTCCCAGGTGCGGGACGGGTAGATAATGACGCAGGCAGTGACATTGTGGCCCTCCTCACTGTACTCCCTCATGGTCCGGAACACCAGCATGGGCGAGCTCAGGAGCAGCGTGCACCCCCAGATCACCAGGCTGTAGACTTTGGCCCAGCGCACCCCTCGCATGCGGCCCATGGACATGGTCTTCACCAGGGCCAGGTAGCGGTCGATGCTCACCAGCATCAGGAAGCAGATGCTGCTGTACAGGTTCATGTGGATCATGGTGTTCACCACGCGGCACAGGGCCTCCCCAAAGAGCCAGTCGAAGTTGTTGGCGATGGTGATGGCCCAGAAGGGCAGCCCGCAGGCCAGGACAAGGTCGGCCGCTGCCAGGTTCCCCAGGTAGATCTCTGCCACTGTGCAGCTGCTCTTGTGCAGGCAGAAGACACTGAGGACGAAGATGTTCTCGAGCGTGGCCAGCATGAACAAGACCCACAAGAAGGGGGCCTGGGTGGCATTGAGCCAGCCCCACCACTTGGTGTCGGGGCAGCTGCTGCCCTGGGCAAGGGTTCCGTTCAGCGCAGATGCAGCTTGCAAGGTGACATTTAGCATGGTGGTGCTGAAAGAAAGTGGAAGAGAGGCTGTTACACCTCGGTGAAGTCCCGAGTGGAAGGAGAAGCAGCTGGTGCAGAAGCTTTGGGGACACAGTCGGCCAGCTGCTCAGCAGTTGGCTCCCCGAGGTGGAGGTGTGGGGCACTGAGGTCCATTTCCACAGCCAGTGCTGAGGGACTCTTGACTCCCCAGGTCTTAGGGAGCCCCCTCCATCCCAGGGCTGACATCCATCAGCAGCTCTGACAGCTTCCCTGAGGAGAGGGTGCCACTCCACAAGCAATGAACAGGAGAAGAAAACACAATCACGCCGGGCAGGGAGACTCTGGCCTGGGCCCATCTGGCCACACCCTGTCTCCCTGTACAGCTGCTGCCCCAAAAAGGCAGCATTGCACCTCCACCCCGCCACAACCCAGGGATGAGCAGAGGACGTGAAGGGGAGGGAGGTGGGGCCTGGGAGCCAGAGTGCCTTCCTGGGTCCCAGTCCTGGTTTCCTTACTTCTCATCTGATTAACTTCTCTGAGCCTCAATGGACTAACCAGGAAAATGGGAAAACCAAAATCTACTTCTTAAGATTGTGGAGGGGACAAAGGACAGTGTGAAGGAATCCAAAATCCCTATATTTGGTTCAGTAAACCTGAGATTTATCTACTTTTGTTGCTTGTTGAAACAGTCAATGTCAGGCTTTTGAAGCAAAGTTGGTGGGTTCTGGTTGCTGTGTCCGTGACCGTGTCATTAACTAGTGCTCCTCTTTCACTCAGAACAGGGGTTAGGCCACTTTCTAGAAGTCCTCTCCAACTGGTCTCTACCTGTGGCAAAGGTACATAGTGCTTGGCTGATGCAGGTTTCCATCCCAGCTATGTGGTCTTGGGCAAACATCTTGACCTCTCTGAGTCTCCATTTTGCTTTCTTCACGGTAGTAGGTTAATCTCTTCCTGACTCTCCTTGCCTGACAGTGGCAAGGTTCAAATCAAAGAGTGGTTGTGAAGACACAAGGAAAAGCCCAAAGCATGCACCCAGAGGGAGGCTTACCTGGCCTGTCTCATGCTCTTAGGATTTGGGATAAGAGATGGCAGAGGGAAAGAGGCACCGTGAGTAGGCTCATAGTTGGGAAGATTTCTGGCCGAGCATCTGAGCAACATATTACAGGGTGGTTCTGCTCAAAGGCCTCTGGGTTTTCCCAGGAAAAGCCGCTCTACTTCCCAGGGCAGCTGCGCCATCCTGGGGCCTGCGATACACCTGCTGCTCAAAGCTTGGAGAGGTTTCGGGAGCTCTGCGTGGGGAGGAGCATGGACAGAATCCCACGTCCTCACCCTGCAGGCAGTATCAGATGTGGGAGAGAGCAGGCAGGAGGTGCAAGAGGAGAGGCTGGAGAAGGGAAGAAGAGCTCCCAGGAAGTGAGGCTGCTTCCTTTAGGGAAGGGACAAGGGGACAGGAAATAGGCTACAGAAAGACCCCGCTGGTGGTGTGATGGCTCGAGTGTGTCCCACAACTCTTTGATAGCCCTCTCCTACAGAGGAGGAGCCTAATTCTTTTTCTGGGTGTGGGCTGGACTCAGTGACTTCCTTCCAACCAACGGTGGCAGTGATGCTGTGTGACTTCCAAGGCTGCAGCATACAGCGCCCTGCAGCTTCTTCCTTGGCCTCTCAGACTGGTCCCCTGGGAAAGCCAGCCACCACGTTGGGAGGATCTGCATGCAGCCACTTGGACAGGAAGCAATCGGAGACCTCTTCCAGAAGCCATCAGCTGCTTCTGGCCCCCAGCTTTGGCTCTTCCAGCTAGGGCCGCAGACAAGAGACATAGCCACCAGCTGCCTCCACTTGCCCTGCACTCCTGACCCATGGAAGCTGGTGGCCCCTTTCCAGCCTCCTCTGTGGGGGATGGACCTGCCCTTGGGAAGACTCCTCATCCAACCCTCGGCCCCAAGTCTGCAGCTACAGAAAGCCCATCTCCTCAGTGTTTGGCTTATGGAGTTGGTAACCCTCATGGGCCAGCTCACCAGGGACAGAGGTTTGGTACCAGATGCTACTTGTCAACAGCCTGGCCGGCCCAGAGCTGGCTCTGAGAAGCCACAGATGCTGCCTTGTGAGTCCCGAGTGGGAGCTACGGGGTCAGTGCCCCACAGCCCTGGCTGAGATGGCCATGGACAGAGACCGTGCTGGGCCTTACTCTGTGTCCTCTGGCCTGGCCTCCCTCTAGTCTGCTGACCTCTAGCCCAGTTCTCTCTTTAGAGGGCTCTGGTTCCACCCACTGTCAGCCACCCGTGGGAGACACCCCCATCTCCTCAGGAGCATGTGCATGTGTCTGACCTTTGGGTACTGACTTTAAGATGGAAGCCTTACCTTCATTTCAGCTGGCCCAGGACAACCAGGAGTGTCCCTCCCAGATTCCACAGCACAACTGCCCACAGGGACTGGGACATTTCAGGGTCTTTATCTCTGGGCTCAACACTCTCTGCACCTTCACCTCCCACCTAGGGTCTGAAAGCCATGCGATCCCCACAGGTCTCCAGGTCACCTAATGACTCACCTGAGGGAGGCTGTGGTAGGTGCAGGGTCTTCATGAAGAGATGGGAGCATCAGCCTCCTCCAGCCCGAAGGCATCTGGCCTCAGTGTGGGATGCGAGTGAAGCTATTCTGGGACTGACGAGGAAGAGGAGAGAGGGTTAAGTGGTGGCTGGCGACCGTGACATGCAGGGTCCCATACCGGGGAGGGAGATGGGGTCTGCAGAGCCCGACTGCTGACCACAGTCTTGGACTTCCAGCCTCCAGAACCACGAGCCCAAATAAATCCCTCTCCTTAGACATTTCTCAGTCTTGGCATTCCATTACAGCTACAGAAAGCACACAGACAGTCCCTTCTGCCAAGGAGAGTGGGCTCAGAGCTGTGGCTAGTCCCCCAGAACTTTTACAGAAGGTTGATATTCTTTCTTTTAAAATGACAAGCGAGGGCGGGGGATTTAGCTCAGTGGTCTGAAGCCTGCCTTGCAAGCCCAAGGACCTGAGTTCGATCCCCAGTACAAACAAAACAAGCGATAGCCATTTTTCCATTTATGTTGATAACATGAAGCTATAGTTCAAAAATAAGCTGATATTAAAAAATAGTTATACAAGTGACACAGCTAAGGCAGAGACTGTGAAGGGGAAGGGTGGATGGGGAGAGCACGGCTTGAAAACACTAGCTTGGGACATGAGTAATGCGGGTACAGTCGGGCCCCAGAAACAGGCCTTGGACTGAGTCCTCTTCCAGAGAGTGCATCATTTCATCACATTTTTCTCACTAAGGGGGATCAAAATATATGGCAGACAGCTACATTTAAAAAATTTTAGTACAATAAAAGATACCTTGCTATGAATGCTTTCAAAATTCTTCCTTCTAACACACATCGCATTGTGATTACCACTTTCTGAAGCAGCTCTAGAGTCCTCTTTCGTGACTGTCTTTGCAAAATCTGATAAAAAATATAATGAATACTGCTGCTGCATGCCGTCCGGGGGAAGACAGGCTCATAGAAACATTATAGTGTGTTATTTTCTTGTTGCTCAGACAAAATAATCCAAGATAAAGGAGGAAAGGTTTATTTAGCTCACAGACTGTAGAGGTTTCAGTCCCAAGTCGGCTGGCTCCAAGGCAGACTGGCACAGCAGAGGAGAAACGGTCCATCGCAGGAAGAAGACAGCAAAAGCAAGCAAAGGATTGTAGCAGCTTCTGTCTGCCCCTTTTATATTCTATCTAGGCAACTGGAGCAGGGAGGTGCCAAACCAGTCAATGGACAGATTTAGTAAGCACCCATCCTTAATCCTAGCATTGTACCATGAATCAGCCACACACTATAGATTCAGCCATCTCTGCAAAAGCACCACCTACAACTAACTGCATGAGGCTTTTGGGGGACATCTAGATGCAAGCCATAAATGCTCAGCCCCTGAGCACACTCCGGCCTGAAATTCTGTGCAGACATCAGTTTCAGTGTGTGCCGAGGATTTCTGGCTGCCTCTCCTGAAGGCTCCTAGGGTCCAATGGCCATGCCCCGGCCCACAGTACACGTGCCTGTTCCTGGCAGTATGCCTCAGAGCCCCTCTCCTGAGGGCTGTGTTTCTGTGCTCCAGCCCAGACTGACACCCTTCCCTTCTCCTGCCCCTCCTGTCCCTCTGCATCTGTTCCAGTTGCTTGTATGGGTAGCACTTCCTTTCTCTGTGGTCAATAGATGGCTGCTGACTGGCAGAGGGCAAGAGGTACTTATTTGTCCTTTTCTCTCCAGTGTATATCTTTGCAGGATGCAGATGAGGGACACAGGAGCTATGGCACATCCACCTGTTACATCCTTGGCACCGCACAACTGAGAAGTGAATGTATCCTTTTTCACAGCCTCCAGATAAAGATGCAGAGACAGGGATGGGCCCTAGACACTTCAAGTGCACACAACTAAAGAGAGGCAGGATCCAAGCCCAGGCCTCCCAGAGCTCAGTGCCAAGTCCTTTCTTCAACACCACACAAGCTCCCAGCCAGCGAGGCTGCTGGGGCAGGGCTCATCCCAAGTATAGCTGAAGGATTGAAGGACTCAAGGGCTGGCTTCCTGGAAGGGAAGCTGTAGCTTATGTTCCTGCAGAAGAGCTTTGCTCATGTGGCTGTCTGGGGAAGCTCAGACTTGGGCTTAACTGGCGATGGGGGCCCAGCAGCCAGGATAGGAAAGCTGGCATTCCCAGGGCATCTGTCCAGTGAGCAGTGTGGCTCTTCCTCTCCCCTGGGTACTGGTGGGTATCAGGTCACCAGGATAGTCCAATGATGAGGGTTTCCCATTTGAGGAGGAAGGAGGCCCTTCAGGCTCAATTTTGCTTTTTCCCCTGGACCTGGGCTCAAGGTACAGCTCAACCACTAACTGGATGTGTCCCGGGAGGGTGCCCGCTAGATCTGGGCCTCTGGCCACCTTCACATGCACATGTGGATGGGTGAGCACTTGGATTGGGTGCCGGACATGTTTCAGGGTCCTGTGGCTTCGTGACTGAGACCCACAGCCACTCAGAATCCCAGCCCCAACCCTTCCCTACGGGGCACAACCTTGGACCCACCGCTCACCTCCTGGTGCCTCAAACTTCCTTCTCGGCCGTGACAGTAGTGATGCTTCCATCTACTCTGTGGGGCTGCCAGATGCTCGTGACTACACACTGTGCACACATCTTCGATTGTAACTGCCCCACAGTTGCCAGTGTTTCCTTTCTTCCTGCATCAGTTTTCTGCAAGCAGTTTTATTGATGGAAAGAGCTCTGGTGCCGACCAAGAAAATGTCCAACCAGCTGTCCAACCATTTGTCCAAATGTCCAACAGATGGGGAAACTGAAGCCCAGAGAGGTGAGGGTAGGTCTCAAGCTTATTCCAGTGTGGAAATGCCGTCCTACAACAGGAGCCCATGCTCTGCATGTTGCCACTGGGTCAGGACCTGATTCAGGTCAGTGGGGCTCTGAAGCTAGGGCTGTACCCGTGGGGATACTGCTCCAGTGGCCACCTGACTCGAGGCACAAACACACTCCTCTTTCTCTTTTCCATCCTTAGCGTTTCTTCCAGGTTCACTGTCCAGAACCTGGGAAATTAGAGTGGGAGGGCACACGGGCAGAGTTTCATCAGAGTCCCTGGTGTTACAGAAGTGAACCTGGGGACCCAGAGCTGGTAAACGTCCTCCCAGGATATATTTAGTCAGTGGCTGAGCGGCACCTTGAACCTAAGTCCCAGAATCCTGATTCCCAGGTCTCCTATTCTTTTCATCACCCCACAGCTGCCCGATCCCAGGCTGGCAGGCAGAGCTGTGGGTCAACATTGTCTGAAGTCTACTGTGACCCCGTGGCCCAGTGCATGCATACAGAGGAGCTGCGAGGCACACAGGCAACACAAGAGAGCAGATGACTTTGTGTGAGAATAAAGATGCCTGATTCCTGTGTCTCTGAATATCCCAGCTTCCTGTTGTGAGCAGTTAAGTCCTTTATAACAGGAGGAAATGGAAATCCCTGCCAGAGAGCAAAACGCAAAGCCACATGAGAAGGAGAGGGAGGCTTCATTCCACCAAGCCGAGTCCCTAGGGGCAGCGCAAGTCGGGCAGAGAGCAGGGCTAGGTCTGCCGTGGAAGGCTATTTCTCTGCACCTCTCCAGCCCCCTGAAGGTCCCTGATGGTCCAAGAGGTGGCCCTGGCCCTGCTGGGGCAGCAGTAGAGGGTTGTTGGCCAGGGGCCATGGCCATCAGTAAGTGTGTCCCAGCTTACAAACAAAAAAGAGGAAGACAGTAAGCAGAGGACCTCGTCCAGCCTCAGGAAAATAAGAAGCCTTGGGATCATGAAGCAGTTTGGGCACAGGTGAACAGATGAGTGAGAGGAGCTGCAGAGCATACCGAGTTGGCAGCAGGCACAAGAGATGGAATCTTGTCCTTTCCTGCTTACTGTAGTATCTGGGCTGCAAGGGCTTCTATAACACTTCTCAGCCCTGAAGGAACCTTTGCCCTTTCATTTCCTGGGAAAGGCCTTCTGGCCTCATTCATTCATCCATCCATTCATTCAAACAAACTCCATTTGTGAGGTATTTGTCATGCTCATTGTGAGGCACAGCAGAGACGACATCATGAGCAAGACCAAAAGAATCAGGATCTCAAGCAACCTAGTGCCGTTGTTCAAGGACCCTCTCAAATGTCACCTCTGCGAAGCCTTCCTTGCCCTCTCAGCCAGAAGAGCCCTCCCTGGTCTAGGACTCTACAGTAAACTGGTGGAAGGAGTCTTGCCTGGGGCCAGAGCCCTGGTGACCAGGGGTGCCCTTGGGTAAATGGTGGATCTCTGGGCTTCCGGTTCTTCACTGGGAGGATGAAGGGTTGGGACAGATGGTTCTGGAGATGTCTGTGCAAGCCTTCCCTAAAGAGGGGTAAGCAGTGAGCTCCCGATCTTGAGAAGAGTGCAAATAGATGCAAAGGTTTCAAAGACCCAATTCCTTACCCACTGGCTCCCAAAGGCTCTCTGGGGAGGGGTGGCAGAGGTCAGTTTAAGCCAGTTCCTTCTCACAGTGTGGCACGGAAGGGACTGTACCCTGCCTCCCTGCCCAGCTCCCCGCAGCTCTGAGGGTCTGGCCCTGGCCCTACCCAAGTCAAAGGCTCCCCGACCCTTCGCCCTCCACTGGGTTTTGCTGCAGGAGGTGGAGCCCCTTGGAATGGAGGGAGTCAACCTTCAGAGTTCAAGATCTTGGCTTTGTCTCTGCTATAGCTGATGGCCTGGGTAGGTGATAGCCTCTTCGTGAACCCCGGCATCAATGCACCACGTCCCCTTTTATTGTGAGTGCAGTGGTCAGTAGAGCCAGAACCTGCCCCTGGGGCTCTCCAGGTGGTGGGTGAGAGGGACACATCACTGTGGGGATGTGGGGATCCTCCCTGGGGCCACTGCAGTGTAAGGATCCACACTGGCTTCTCCAGCAGGACATGCACTCCATTGCTGGGGTGTGCATGGCAGTCCTGCATGGGCTGAATGGGGTGCTGGTGACCCCAAGGCTAGGGGCAAAGGCAGTACCTCTGAAGGAGATGGAACGGCCTTGCCAGCTCCCACACTGCTTGCTCTTCCCTGGGCAGAGGTCTGCCAGCTCCCTGCTGCTTCTGCCTCTGTAACCAGAGTGAAATGGGTCCAGGATCCCTGTCACAGTGGGGCGAAGCTGTCCTGAGCCCTGTCCCCAGATTGGCCTGAGATGCTCAAGGGACAGATGCCACCTCCTGTTACTTGGGGGCCCGTAGTCAGGCCCTGGAGGGAGAAGACTCCTGGAAGAGATCTTTGTCAATAAACGCCTCTGTTTCCACTGACCTGTGGGATTGGCTGAAGGAAAGGTGGGAAGGGAACCTCCTGGTGGTGCCCCAGGTCCTAGGGCTCCTGCTTTCTGCCCTTTGCCCCTCGGAGACTTGGGGACAAGGATGTTTCTTTGGAGAGAGGAGTCAGAGGAGTGGTGTGCTGGTAAAATGGTTAAAAGCCAGCTCTCTGGGGAAAAGCCTGAATGTGTAGCATCTGTTGATTTCCACTGTGTGAATACCTTTGCCATGGCTGATATTGAGTCTAACCTGACAAGTGGCTCTAGGCCCATCAGGCCTGAAACACTGTTCACAGAGCCACCTCCCTGCCTCTGTACCCACCTCCCTCTCGATGAGGGTGAGCAGCCCTTCCTACTCATCCTTCAGCTCCCTTGTAAAGGTGTAATGTCTCCTCCTCCGCGAGGCCCTCCTGGATTCTTCCTGGTGTCCCAGGCCCGGAGTGCCTATCACAGCCCTCGGCACACTTTGTGTCAACTGCTCACTTCCCTGTCTCTCTCACCGGCCCGTTTGTGCTGGGATGGCCCCAAAGGGCTCCGTCCTCCCCTTCACTCTGTCCCTACCGCCTAGAACTGGCCTGGTGCAGACTTGGACAAGATCTGTCAAATGGACAATGCATAATGGTGAGGGTACTGAAGCTAACGCAGGTGTTGCCTGTCACGAGCCCGTGCTGTTCTAAGCACACAACAGAGATCAACTCGTTAAATCCTCGCAGCAACCGGAGACAGTACTGATGTCTCCACCGATGAACAAGAGGACCCTGGGTCACCTGCCGGACACGCCCCGGCCTGCACACATGAGGCTACTCTGGTGCGGGAGGGTAGGGGGCACTGAGCGCTGTCCTCTTCCACAGACAATAAATCTCTGAGGGCTTGGGATGAGGCAGGGTCAGCTCAGGGGGCTCAAGTGCAAACGCACTTTGTACCCGGTCACATGCCCCACATGCACCAGAGCCGTGGGAGTTCTGAGTTAGAAGAGTCTCAGCATTAAGAGAGTCGTAGTCCAGGCTTTACTACCAGAGAGGAAGCGGGCTGTGACCCGTCTGAAATCAAGCAGGAGCATCCAGCCCTGACCCTGTTGCCCTGCCACATGCACAGAACTTTACTCTTTAGCCGGCAACGTCTAATGCCTACTTTACAGAAGGGGTGGGGGCAGAGGCTTACAGAAGAGGGGATGGAGTCACCCCAGGTCCCAGACTCAAAAGTGGTACCCAGGGGACCGTGCACCTCAGAGGCAGAAGGAACCAAGGCTGAACCAACTTGATTTCGATCAAGTGCGTGAAGCAGACCAGGCCAGAGGAGGGTGGAGATTGGAGATCTGAAGGGGCTCACAAATCACCCGACCCCTGGTGCCTCCTTCCCAGGAGAGGGGCCTGCCAGCCAGACATCTGCCTGGGCTGAGGCTGCAGGAGGGCGGGTGTGTGTGTGTGTTGGGGAAGGACCTGGCCTCGATCCCAGCTCTGGCCTCTTCCCAGGCTTGCTGAGATGGGGACAGTGAGGCTGCACACTTGTGCTGCTGTCCCCAGGTTGAGGTGAGCTGGCGCTGCCTGACACCTGGTCCAGGGTGGCAGGGAGTCAGCGGCTGTCGGGATCGCTCTTGTTGCCAGGGTACTATTCCTGGATCAGCACTGGGCTTTTTGTGTGTGCAATGCCAGGGATCGAACAGGGCCCGGCACATGCTAGGCCAGCGCTCTTCACTTGACCCCTAGTCCTCAACTCTGAGCTTTACCTGCCAGCAGGTGACTTCCCCTCTCTGGCCTCAGTTTCCCCATCAGTGATTACACTGAGTGCTTTGTAAGGTCCTGAGGCTTTTCTTTTTCTCCACACCCGTTCTGACTGTCACATTATCATCTCTGGAGCACAGAACAGAGTTTGTGTCTGAATCCTCAGTCCTGGCACTGCATAGCTGCTATTTGATTTTTGCTGCATTGAGTGGCTTTTGGCAGCAGTGAGCTCCCCGTCACTAAAGGTTTTTAAGTACAACCTGGGCGGTGTTTCTAGTGTACTTGGCTTAAGATTCCTTTAGTAGTATTATGGCCACCTTACCTAGTGCCACACTTGTTTTATCCCCCAGTGTTTTTTAAAAATTTGATTTCTTTTAATCCCCCAGTTTATCTAACTCAGGGCATTTTCTTTGTAGGATGAAGTTACTGGAGATGCATGCGCCAGACTTTTCCGTAGAGGGGGTTAACAGGGTACAGCACCAGCCAGCCAGTTTCCGGGGTGAAAAGAAGCTACAGAGAGGGTGCTGGCTTCCAGAAGGATGCCCAGCCATAGGGTTCTGAGTCTGGCCTGGGACGGCATCAGTCTGTGCTTTTGCTACCACTCCTAGCTGCGTTCCTGTGGGAGGTGGGGAGACAGAGTGCACCACCTTTGTCCCAATTATGTAAATACAGGCCACCTCGCAGAGCCAGCAGAGCCATGGTTTGTTGCTGGGTTGGTGGGAGGGGACTGGCGATCTCCCCCAGACCCCCATGAGGCCCCTGCAGAGCCTGCCTAGGGTGCAGGCCACGTTCAGGTCCTGGGGATCACCAGCTCTGGTGCAGCCCGAATGGAAAATTCCTGCTTTTTCAGCCTAGATGAAAAAGCTTTCTGACATGCATGAGCTTGCATACTTGCTTTGCACATCACATTTTTGGAGCCAGAAACAAAATCCTCTGCGGGGTGGGGTGGGGCGGGGTCCTGCCCTGCCCTGCCCAGCCTGCACCCGGCAGAAGGCACACCCCAGCCCTCTCCCCAGCCAGCTCCAAAGCTGCACAGGGAAAGAAGGGTAGCAGATTTGTGCTTCTTCCTGGTAGGTTATTGGGCAGTCTGAGGCTCAATTTCCTTATTGGTAAAGGGCTTGGTTATTGGCTCATTGGTATTAGGGGTTGTATTAATAGGAGACTGCAGCTGATGAGATGCCGGTGTCCACTGTTGGCTGCTGTGGGAAACTTCCAGAGCCCAGAAAATGTAAAAATGATGTGGTTTGTGAGCATTTATTGGCCCAGTCACAGAGGGAGGCAGGCAGGTGGTTTTTGTTGTCCTCTGTTTTTTTTTTTTTTTTTTTTTTT